ATGGATATATGTGTAATTACTCCCCAAAATACATTCTGCTACTTATCCTGAGTATGGGGGTACCACATGTGAGAGACTTTTTGGCAGTCTAGCCAAGTACAGGACCCCAAAATCCAATAAGCACCTTCAGGGCTTTATTTCCTCATTACAGTGCTGACCTGACTACCTATCACTGTTTCGGAGGCTCTGAAGTGCCAGGATAGCACCCAACCCCTCCAAATGACCTCTTTTTGGAAAGTAGACACCGCACGGAATTTGATAAGAAGCATGGTGAGTATTTTGCAGATCTCGTTTGTTGCCACAAGTTTTTGTAAAATGAAGAAAGAAAACAAAAACATATTTTTCTTTAATTGTTTTATGTTTCAAAACTTTGTGAGAAAAAATGAGATCTGCAAAATACTCATCATGCCTCCTTTTAAATTCTTTGTGGTGTCTACTTTCTAAAAAGGGGTCATTTGGGGGGTTTTGGTGCTATTCTGGCATTTCAGGTCCTCCGAAACTGTGATAGGTAGTGAGGAAGTAAAATGAGGAAGTTACGCACCTACGGGTTTCAAAGTGGTCATTGTATTTCAGGCTCCTGTATGTGGCTAGGCTTCCAAAATTATTCACACACGTGGTATCCCCATACTTGGTAGAAGTAGCAGAATGTATTTTGGGGTGTAATTCCACATATACCCTTGGCTTATGTGAGCAATATATCATTTAAGTGACAACTTTGTGGAAAAAAAAAAAAATCTTCCATGCCTCTCAGCAGATAGCTTAGGGTGTGTACTTTCTGAAAAGGGGTTATTTGGGGGGTTTTGTACTGTCCTGGTATTTTAGCACCTCAAGAAATGTGATAGGCAGTCAGAAAGTAAAAGCTGTGTAAATTCCATTATCTATACCATAGTTTGTAGATGCTATAACTTTCACAAAAACCAATTAATATGCAGTTATTGGGATTTTTTTTTTACCAAAGACATGTAGCAAAATACGTTTTGGCCTATATTTATGACGAAATTTGAGGTTTTTTTTTATTATTTTTATGACAGAAATGAGAAAATATAATTTTTTTCAAAATTTTCAGTCTTTTTTTTTTGTTTATAGCGCAAAAAAAAAAAAACCCAGAGGTGATCAAATAGCACCAAAAGAAAGCTCTATATGTGTGAAAAAAGGACATAGATTTCATTTATGTACAGCATTGCATAACTGCGCAATTGTCAGGTAAACTAGTGCAGCGCTGCATAGCAAAAAATGGCGTAAAATGCAGTATCTATTCCATAGTATGTAGACGCTATTACTTTTACACAAAGCAAATATTATACACTTATTGGGACTTTTTTTTTACCCAAGACATGTAGCAGAATACATTTTGGCCTAAATTTATGGCTAACTTTGAGTTTACTATATATTTTTTATAGCCAATTGTAAAAAATAGTAACTTTTTCAAAATTTGTGGTCTTTTTTTTTTTTTAAAGGGCAAAAAATAAAAAGTGCACTGGTGATCAAATACCACCAAAAGAAAGCTCTATTTGTGTGAAAAAAAGGGACATAAATTTCATTTATGCACAGTATTGCATGATTGCACAATTGTCAGTTATACTAGTGCAGCGCTGTATAGCAAAAAATGGCTTAACCACTTCCAGACCGGACACTTTTACCCCCTTCCTGACCAGGGCAATTTTCAGCTTTTAGTGCTATCACACTTTGAATGACAATTGCGCAGTCATGCAATACTGTACCCAAATGAATTTTTCACCATTTTTTTGAGACAGATAAAGCTTTATTTTGGTGGTATTTATTCACCACTGGGATTTGTATTTTTTTTGCTATGTAAATGAAATGTCCAAAAATTTTGAAAAAAAAGTGTTTTTTTATAACATTTTGCAAATAAATAATATTTCATCATAAATCTTAGCCAAAATTTATTCCGTTATCTTTTTCGTAAAAAAAAAAAAATCCAAAAATTAGTTTTATAAGCAAAAATTATAATTTTTAAAACCTTTTTTTTTTACATTTTTATTTTATTTTTTTTATATTATTATTTTTTATTTATTTATTTATTTTTACATACTGTCACCCTAGCAGTACAGTGTCACCATGGTGACACTGTACTACTTGTGGGGGGTGATGAAGATTTTTTTTTTTTTTACACTGATTGCTTTTACACCCATATAGGATGTAAAAGCAATCATTTCTCTTTCTCTCTGTGTGCATTCTTGCACTCATTGAGAAATACTGAGTGAGCTGTGATTGGTCACAGCTTGTCACATGGTACAAGGCTGTTGTGAATAGCCTTGTACCATGTGACCTCTGTGATCATTCACAGATTTCACACATAGTAAGCAATGATGTCACAAGTGACATCTTGCTTACTACTTTGCATGTGATCACTGATTGGCCAATCAGTGATCACATGATCGGGACCTCGTACAGAGGTCCCGTCCGACGATCGGTGTTTCACTGTGTCCGGAGGACACAGCGGGCACCGGATCGTGGTGCTGCGCGCTCCCAGGGAGCGCGCACAAGCAGGGTGCGGGGAGGCCGTTTATAGACGGCCACCCGACCCTGCAGTGCCACCGTCCGGCCGTTTATATGCAACAGCCGGTCGGGAAGTGGTTAAAATTGCAGTATCATAGTTTGTAGACGATATAACTTTCACACAAAGCAATCAATATACACTTATTGGGATTTTTTTTTACCAAAAACATGTAGCAGAACACATTTTGGCCTAAATGTACGACTATCTTTGAGTTTACTATATATTTTTAAAAAAATTTGTGGTCTTTTTTTATTTATAGCGCATAAAATAAAAAGCACACAGGTAATCAAATACCACCGAAAGAAAGCTCTATTAGTGTGAAGAAAGGACATACATTTCGTTTGGCTACAGCATTGCATGACCGTGCAATTACCAGTTGAAATAGTGCAGCACCGAATAGAAAAAATAAAGGCCTGGTCAGGAAGGGGGGGGGGTAAATCCTCAGGAGGGCAAGTGGTTAAAGATGCTTCTGCCTAGTTTTCCAACTAATATACTTTGCAGCGAATGTAATTACCCATTAACTGAAAATGCCATACTAAATGGAATGATAGCAGGCAAAGATGCGTCCACACACCAAAAAAATATCAGTCTCTTCTCTCCACTTTTAAAAAGGCCCATTTACGTAATTGTGATGCATTCAAATGGGATCCTTCAAGGCATTCCATTTAAATGAATGAGCTGCCAATGTGCCCTAACATGCCTAAATAAGCACTTGCCCCTTTTTTTTTCTAATGCAATGCACTGCAGTGTGCTGTCCTGTGTTGCAGAGCCCATCAAAGCAGGTCCTTTGGATGCATTGGGTGCCATTCAAAATCAACCAATGAAAGAAGAAGCACACATTCTGAAATTATTTTAACAAAGCTACAGTTCAACAGTATTGAAGAATTATCACATATTTTTTTACATTATTCAGTTCCTAATGTGACATGTAGATGTAGTACTTTGCCCCATCTTCCTAGGTGCCCTGCAACACTAGCAGTGATGTCAGATAGGGCGCCCCACTCTTCCTGCTACACAGCTACCCAGCATAGTATCTACCATGCCCAAGAAAAGCATTAATAACAGGAAAGCTGTCAGGGCTCCCAGGTATGACCAGAGGTGTGTGACTGATGCAGGGAAACGCAGACTTCAGATATGTGATAAACAATACAATTTATTAACACTAACCATACAAACATAAACGCAGTGCAATACTAAACATAATACAGTGCAAACAAACCAAACCAAACCACCCACAGATAACAGTACATACAAGCAAGCGTCGTCAGGCAGGCCGGGTCAATATCAATTGGGCAGGTAGGTACAGGGGGAGCAAGCAGAGAATGGTCGGGGTCACAGGCCAGGTTCAGCAGGTAGCAAGCAGCGTAGTACAGAGGGTCAAGCAGAGGGATGGTCAGGGTCACAACGTCGGCCCGACCCCCGGGCGGGGCGACCGGCGTCGGGCCCCCAGGCGGGGCGACCGGCGCCGGGCCCCCAGGCGGGGCGACCGGCGCCGGGCCCCCAGGCGGGGCGGCGGGCGCCGGGCCCCCAGGCGGGGCGACAGGCGTCAGGCCCCCAGGCGGGGCGACGGCGGGGCGACAGGCATCGTGCCCCCAGGCGGGGCGACAGGCATCGTGCCCCCAGGCGGGGCGACAGGCATCGGGCCCCCAGGCGGAGCGACAGGTCTCGGGCCCTCAGGCGGAGCGGCGGGCGCCGGACCCCCAGGGAGCGACAGGTCTCGGGCCCTCAGGCGGAGCGGCGGGCGCCGGACCCCCAGGCGGAGCGACAGGTCTCGGGCCCTCAGGCGGAGCGGCGGGCGCCGGACCCCCAGGAGGAGCGACAGGTCTCGGGCCCTCAGGCGGAGCGCGGCGGGCGCCGGACCCCCAGATGGAGCGACAGGTCTCGGGCCCTCAGGCGGAGCGGCGGGCGCCGGACCCCCAGGCGGAGCGACAGGTCTCGGGCCCTCAGGCGGAGCGGCGGGCGCCGGACCCCCAGCGGAGCGACAGGTCTCGGGCCCTCAGGCGGAGCCCTCAGCGGCGGGCGCCGGACCCCCAGGGGAGGAGCGACAGGTCTCGGGCCCTCAGCGGAGCGGCGGGCGCCGGACCCCCAGGCGGAGCGACAGGTCTCGGGCCCTCAGGCGGAGCGGCGGGCGCCGGACCCCCAGGCGGAGCGACAGGTCTCGGGCCCTCAGGCGGAGCGGCGGGCGCCGGACCCCCAGGAGGAGCGACAGGTCTCGGGCCCTCAAGCGGAGCGGGCGGGCGCCGGACCCCCAGGCGGAGCGACAGGTCTCGGACCCTCAGGCGGAGCGGCGGGGCGCCGGACCCCCAGGCGGAGCGACAGGTCTCGGGCCCTCAGGCGGAGCGGCGGGCGCCGGACCCCCAGGCGGAGCGACAGGTCTCGGGCCCTCAGGCGGAGCGGCGGGCGCCGGACCCCCAGGCGGAGCGACAGGTCTCGGGCCCTCAGGCGGAGCGGGCGGGCGCCGGACCCCCAGGCGGAGCGACAGGTCTCGGGCCCCAGGCGGAGCGGCGGGCGCCGGACCCCCAGGAGGAGCGACAGGTCTCGGGCCCTCAAGCGGCAAGCGGAGCGGCGGGCGCCGGACCCCCAGGCGGAGCGACAGGTCTCGGACCCTCAGGCGGAGTGGCGGGTGCCGGACCCCCAGGCGGAACGACAGGTCTCAGGCCCCCAGGCAGGGCGGCGGGCACCGAGTCACCAGGCACAACCGTGGGCTCCGAGTCAACTGGGATGACCGCTGGCACTGGGTCAGACATTGGATCGTCTGGCTGGACAGCGGGCATCGGGTCACCAGGCATCAGGTCATTTGGCTCGACAGCGGGCACCGCGTCATCTGGCAAGGCAGTGGGCTCCGAGTCAACAGGCACGACAGTGAGCACCGGGTCATCAGGTACCGGATTGTCTGGCTCGACAGCGGGCATCGGGTCACCAGGTATGACAGCGGGCACTGGGTCACCAGGCATCAGGTCATTTGGCTCGACAGCGGGCACCGGATCAGGTACCGGATCATCTGGATCAACAGCGGGCATCGAGTCAACTGGCCTAATAGGATCGCAGGCTGGATCAGTTCATCATGCTGGGGTAGAGGCATCAGGCCGAGTAGAGGCTTCAGGCCGAGTAGAGGCTTCAGGCCGAGTAGAGGCTTCAGGCCGAGTAGAGGCTTCAGGCCGAGTAGAGGCATCAGGCCGAGTAGAGGCTTCAGGCCGAGTAGAGGCTTCAGGCCGAGTAGAGGCTTCAGGCCGAGTAGAGGCTTCAGGCCGAGTAGAGGCATCAGGCCGAGTAGAGGCTTCAGGCCGAGTAGAGGCAGGCAGGCATCAGGCTGAGAGAGGCATCAGGCTGAAGAGAGGCATCAGGCTGAAGAGAGGCATCAGGCTGCGTACAGGGCATCAGGCTGAAGAGAGGCATCAGGGCATCAGGCATGCGTAGAGGCATCAGGCTGAGTAGAGGCAGGGCTGAGTAGAGGCTGAGTAGAGGCATCAGGCTGAGTAGAGGCTTCAGGCTGAGTAGAGGCTTCAGGCTGAGTAGAGGCTTCAGGCTGAGTAGAGGCTTCAGGCTGAGTAGAGGCTTCAGGCTGAGTAGAGAGGCTTCAGGCTGAACCACGGAAGGCAGGCTCACCGGTTTGGATACTGGCAGGATGGTATTGGTTGGAAAGAATTTTCGCTTTTTTCTGGTTTTAACTACTGGAGCACTGCAAGTAAACGCAGGTCTGCAAACGAATGGAGCAGCTGGAGACAGAGAAGAACTGGAGGATGGAACAGGAGAGGGAGCGGTTGCTACAGAGGGCTCTTTTACAGGGTTAAAGGCAGGATAGGTGCAGCGAGTGGGAACAGGGTACTGACATGCGGTAGATAGCAGGGCAGGAGGAGCTGTTGGGAATGCAGGAATAGAGTTTTGAGGAAATAGATTAGAAGCAGGACTGGGTCTTTGTAAGCTGACTGAGGCTGGGTGCAACAAATCTGTCCATGTCTGCAGTATGGGGTTGAACAAAGCTGAGCTTACACAAAGCCTGTCTGGTCAATGACTGTACTGCGTTTATACAATCTCTTAGTGTCTGTGGTGAACATGTGGAATAACGCTCCAGAAAGTAACCCACATCATCCTCTAATAACCACACCAGGGACTCTACCTGGTCTGCACTAAATGGTGGCAAAAATTCATCCCTGCATTCGGGGGAACCAGATGAAACCAACTCAGCACAAACCTCAATCAAAGGCTGCACCTCAGAGAACTCTGTGCCCTGATCTACTAGAACATGAGCGAGCCGTATACATTCTAGCAGTTCATCCCGGGTATACTCCTTCAGAGTTTGATAAGCATACTCCCTGTCATCAAACACTAGCAGATATAAATATTCAACCTCATCCAGATCCATCCTTCCCATCAACAAGCCAAGATGGCTTCCCTGTGCAGCCACTTCTGGTCAGGATTGGCCTTGGTGTAATGTCAGGGCTCCCAGGTATGACCAGAGGTGTGTGACTGATGCAGGGAAACGCAGACTTCAGATATGCCGGCAACAGCCGGTCGGGAAGTGGTTAAATTGCAGTATCATAGTTTGTAGACGATATAACTTTCACACAAAGCAATCAATATACACTTATTGGGATTTTTTTTTTTTACCAAAAACATGTAGCAGAACACATTTTGGCCTAAATGTACGACTATCTTTGAGTTTACTATATATTTTTAAAAAATTTGTGGTCTTTTTTTTTATTTATAGCGCATAAAATAAAAAGCACACAGGTAATCAAATACCACCGAAAGAAAGCTCTATTAGTGTGAAGAAAGGACATACATTTCGTTTGGCTACAGCATTGCATGACCGTGCAATTACCAGTTGAAATAGTGCAGCACCGAATAGAAAATAAAGGCCTGGTCAGGAAGGGGGGGGGGTAAATCCTCAGGAGGGCAAGTGGTTAAAGATGCTTCTGCCTAGTTTCCAACTAATATACTTTGCAGCGAATGTAATTACCCATTAACTGAAAATGCCATACTAAATGGAATGATAGCAGGCAAAGATGCGTCCACACCAAAAAAAATATCAGTCTCTTCTCTCCACTTTTAAAAAGGCCCATTTACGTAATTGTGATGCATTCAAATGGGATCCTTCAAGGCATTCCATTTAAATGAATGAGCTGCCAATGTGCCCTAACATGCCTAAATAAGCACTTGCCCCTTTTTTTTCTAATGCAATGCACTGCAGTGTGCTGTCCTGTGTTGCAGAGCCCATCAAAGCAGGTCCTTTGGATGCATTGGGTGCCATTCAAAATCAACCAATGAAAGAAGAAGCACACATTCTGAAATTATTTTAACAAAGCTACAGTTCAACAGTATTGAAGAATTATCACATATTTTTTTACATTATTCAGTTCCTAATGTGACATGTAGATGTAGTACTTTGCCCCATCTTCCTAGGTGCCCTGCAACACTAGCAGTGATGTCAGATAGGGCGCCCCACTCTTCCTGCTACACAGCTACCCAGCATAGTATCTACCATGCCCAAGAAAAGCATTAATAACAGGAAAGCTGTCAGGGCTCCCAGGTATGACCAGAGGTGTGTGACTGATGCAGGGAAACGCAGACTTCAGATATGTGATAAACAATACAATTTATTAACACTAACCATACAAACATAAACGCAGTGCAATACTAAACATAATACAGTGCAAACAAACCAAACCAAACCACCCACAGATAACAGTACATACAAGCAAGCGTCGTCAGGCAGGCCGGGTCAATATCAATTGGGCAGGTAGGTACAGGGGGAGCAAGCAGAGAATGGTCGGGGTCACAGGCCAGGTTCAGCAGGTAGCAAGCAGCGTAGTACAGAGGGTCAAGCAGAGGGATGGTCAGGGTCACAAGCCAGGGATCAGGACAGGTAGCAGAGAATCAGACAGGAACAGAGAGCAGGAACAGGATACAGGGCCCAAGAGAAACACAACACCAAGGCAGAGTCTGTGGGTCTGGCCATCCCTTAAATACCCCAGCATCATCAGTTCCAGGTGTTAGCTGGCTGAAAGGTTGAGTCTCTGATTGCTGGGAGCACACCCGCTGGCCAGCCCTGGTACTGCAGATCAAAAGGCAGGTGAGTCCCACCATTGCTGGCCAGTCCATTCCTAACAAAAGCTATCCACTGAAAGTCTGAGCCAGCTCCTTGCGCCTGGAGCACAGGAGGGTAAGAGCAGAGCTGGAGACTGACAGTCATGGCTTTCTGCTCAGTGCGGAGGGGGAGAACTGAGCGGTCAGTGCTGTTTGATTGCTCAGTTCTCAGATCAGAGCCATCAGGAGACAGATGCAGTATAGGACTGATGCTGCATTCACCTATGTGAGTATATTGTTTTTTTCCCTAAAGCCCACACTTCTCTTTTTAATGTAACCAGAAAGTTGCATTAAGATGATTGTATCACTTGATTAGGAAGGAAATACACATTTAGTTTTTCACAAAACATGTACTTAATGTGTGATTATTTAACTTCCTTGTAAAGTATGTGATCATTTTACTTCCTTGATAATGTAGCACCATAGACCATGGTGTCACTCGTGTTCCCAGCAACTATGGTGTCTATTTATTGAATGTCGTGTGTCTCTCAGCAGTTATATATAACCATTCAGTTTGTGGTATTAAACAAATGAAATTACCAGCAGTTTCTAATAGCACTTGGTATATGCTGCAGTTAATCCTTTAAGGTGTACAGTATTAACACTCTATGGGGTTGATTTACTAAAAGCAAATAGTATGTGCACTGCAAGATATGAGGGGAACCTCGGAAATTAGGGGGAGCTCTTCTGATTTCTATTATCCAATCATGTGCAAGCAAAAATGCTGTTTTAATTTTCCTTGCATGTGATTGTGTATTCTTTGCAAAGTGAAGCTATACCTCATTTACTAAGCTCTGGAGCAACTTAACTCGCAGTGCACCGTTTATTTGCATTTAGTAAATCAACCCCAATATACTATGCTATATGATCAGGGGGATTTTAGTCCAAAGTCCAAAGATATTTTTTCTTTGCTTTCCCTGACGTCTGTACATCAAAAATCATTTGGTGTTTATGTACATAAACATACCTTATTAACCTGCTGATGCCAGCCACATGCATATATTCGGTTGCTCAGCATGTGGGTCATAATGCTGAGCAGTCACATATATGTGACCCTGTTAAAGCTACTTACCATGCTGAGTGTGCGTTCCGTGCATGCTCCTAGTACAGTAGCCGGCGGTGATTGGTAAGCTCCCAATGCATACTTGCTATCGGGAGTTTTTGGATTATGTGACTGCTGTGACAGTCAATCACAGCGGTCACATGACCTAAAGGCCTGCCTCCACCTCCCAGCTTTCAGAACCCGTAAATGGCCAGGAGAAGGTCGGCACCAAAGGATTAATATAAAGTGGTAACTATGTTTACATACACAGTATGGTCCTATGACATTCTGGTGGAAAGAAAAACAACACCTCCTGCGCTCTATGGCCCAGAGCAAGGGTAGATAGATGGACATGGAACGTGAAGAAATTCACCACCAAAGCATCAAAGGTTGTGCGGCTCTAAACAAGGCTGGGGAAACCCGACCAATACTGTAAAGTGAAGCAAAAAGAAAAGCGCACCAACCTTGTGCATTACCTCTGTAAAATGTGATTTTATTGAATTTAAAATTTACTCACAAACAGAGAAATATAAAAAGCGTGTAAAATCCTTAGTGAGACTCAAGGCGTCTGAGACCAGTGCGAGTCTTTATCACGAAGGAAGATCCTCAAAAGTCAGGCTGACGCATTTCGACGGGAGTGCCTTCTTCATCAGAGCTCTGATGAAGAAGGGACTCCCTTCATAAACGCGTCAGCCTGACTTTGGGAATCTTCCCTCGTGATAAAGACTCACAGTGTTCTCAGACGCCTTGAGTCTCGCTAAAGATTTTACACACTTGTTATACTTCTCTGTTTGTGAGTATATTTTAAATCTTATGACATTCTGTACATACATTTTGCAGTGTATAATTACCAGCAGAAGTCTGAGAAGATTGACATCCTTTCAGGTTTAAATATCTCTTTGGGCTCAAGTGACCCTTTGCCATTTTAATTTGACACTTACATATACAGACCTTTCAGGGGGAGCAAAACAACCTTTATATGATATTACCTCTATAAATAGAAAGCATGCTATAATATGTGACTTTATGCCATATTTCTCTTTTATTCTCCAGGAACTAAAGAAAGACATTAAAAAAGAACTTAGCAGTAAACCACCAGACAGGCCTAACCAGACCATATCTAATGGCAGTGCATTGCTGTCATGCGAAGCAGTAGTCCGTGGATCTGGAAGAGGTAATTGATACACTACTCACATTGTGTACAGAGACATTGTATTTGCATTTTAGTTACTTTTCTCTCTCTGTGGGGGCATTTACAGAAATAGAAGAATCTAA